TCTCTCTTAGGGCTAGGGATTTTGAGCATTTCTTCATGTGCTTGTTAGCCATCTGAATGTCGTCTTCGGTGAAGTGCCTTTTCATATCCTGTGCCCATTTTTCTATTGGATTATTTACCTTTATCTTGTTGTGGTGCTCAAGTATTTCATAAATTCTGGATATAAGTCCCTTATCTGATATGTTATTACCGAATACTTTTTCCCAGTCAGTGGCTTCCCTTTTTACCCTACTGGAGAAGTTTTTGGATGCGCATAGGGATTTGAGTCTTAGAAGATCCCATTCATCTATGTTATCTTCTCCTGGTTGTAGGTTTTCCAGGATACTGGGAAGACTGTTTATGTTGTGGATTAGGACTTCTAGTGTTGTTCCTAGCTTTTCTGTAATGAAGTTTTTAGTCCTAGGTCCATGATCCACCTTGAGTTGGTTTTTGTGTATGGAGTGAGGTGTGGGTCTTGCTTGAGTCTTTTGCAGATATTTTTCCAATTTTGGCTGGCTGGCTTCTGAGACAGTAGTAACAGTAGTCACATGTTGGGTTCTGTGGAAGCCAGAGAGGAGGGAGATTATCATCTACATAAGAGGGAATCGGGTAGCTCTTGATTGGAAGTTTTTTTCTGACTGTGTACTTTTACTTCAAGTGCATGGCTGGTAATTCTTCACATTCCTTTGGCCACCATAGAAAAGCCTGCTCCCATCTTGTGGAATACTGACAGTCACTCCCCAAAGAACAAACAAATCTGACTTGGAGGAAGTGAAACCAGGGTGCGCCTTACAGGCGAGGAGGGTGAAACTTCGTCTCATATACTTTGGGTGTGTTGTCAAGAGGGGTCAGTCCTTGGGGAGAGGTTGTCCTGGGGTACGTGGAGGCACAGAGGAAAGAGAGGAAGACTCTCAACAAGATGGATTGACGCTGTCCCTGTGACAGTGGGCTTGAGTTTAGCAGAGATGGTGAAAACGGCAGGATAGGGCCAGGTTCAGATCTGTGCTTCCCGGGGTGGCTGTGAGTCATAGATGATTCAGTGGGACCTAACAGTAGAAGCAGCTGGAAATAAAGGTTGCTTATTCTTGCATAACTCAAATGAACCAAAAGGCTAGATTGTTTTCCCCCAAGGATGTTTCCTAGCCTGTCTTTCCACCCTACTGCATTTATCAGATAAGGAAATTGGGTCCCAGTGTCCTGCAGACAGAACCCAGACTCCCAGTATTTTGGGTGGAATGTTTGTCTGGAACAGTTAACCATGTTGACATGACTCACTGGAAAAATAACACATCTTGGATTGTGACCCAGTCCTCACGTAATTGTGTGTGTAAATATTTGACATTCAAACAGAAGTAGAAACTTGGAACAATACTTTAACTTAGTGGGTTGCATTTTAGCATTTCAAATTTTAATTCAAGTTTGGTTTCAAACAAAATGTCAGCTGTCATTATTAAGCTGATTTCTCAATTTAATAATGGACTCTTTAGCCTGTGGTTAGAAAGAAAAACAAACTAACCTAGAACAGCAGCCATGAAATTAAAAGACGTATTGCGATGGGAAAGTCTGCTGTTAGGGACCTCTCCAAAGTACTCAAGAGCAGTGGTGTCACTCTGGAGACGAAGGTGCGTCTGATACAGGCCATGGTCTTTGCAATCACTTGTTATGCGTCAGAGAGTTGGACAATGACTAGGGAGGATAGAAGGAAAATTGATGTCTTTGAGTTGTGGTGCTGGAGAAGAGTATTGAGAGTATCATGGACTGCTAAGAGAACAAACAGATTCATCCTGGAGAGGGTTAAACTGGGCTGCTCCTTGGAGGCAAGGATTCTGCAGCTTCGTCTGACATACTTTGGACATGTTGTGAGGAGAGACCGGTCCTTGGAGAGGGGACATCATGCTGGGCAGAGTCGAGGGACAGCGCAGGAGGGAAGACCCTTTATGAGGTGGATTGATTCAGTGACTGGGGTAATCGGGATGGGTGTGTCAGAGACAGTGAGATTGGCACAGGACAGAGCAGAGTTTAGGGCTGTTGTACAGAGGGTCGCTATGGTTGCAGGTGACTTGATAGCACATAACAACAACGACAACCTAGAGTAGGCCTGATCTTTGTTAGGATGAAACTAAAGGCCAGTTGTGACTGGTGATGTCAGATCAGATTTGAAACTCCTTCCAGCTGCCTCTACTTCCTAACCCCAGTCTGCATTTTCCCATTTGCTTTTGTTGCTGTCTTGTGCCTTTGAATCAGAGCCAACTCATAGCTGACCTTCCATCCAGTTTTCAGAGGCAATAAAGAACACAGGAGAACACTGCCCATCTTTTTCCCTTGGGGTAGCTGGTGGATTTGAACCATGTGCCTCTGGGTTGGCAGTACAGCTCCTTCCCAGTAAGCCACCAGAGCGCCTTGTTCCCATTTTACCCAGGTGAAAAGAATCGATTCAGGACCTTCCTCCCATTCAGCACTTCTGTCATCATGGACTCCCCAGGCTTTCCCTCTGTGTGTTCCCTGCTCCAAGTGAAGGCAGCAGCTGAACTCCCAGGAAATATGCGTCTATATCTGTGTGTTTCATATGAGGCAATGTTGTGCATTATCTCTGTGTTTGGAAAGTGCATTTTGTTTTAAAGTCATGCCAAGGCATTGTTTTTGTTGTCGCATGTCATGGAACTGGAACTGACTCATGACTGACCCTCCTCAGTGGACTGTCAGAGGCGGTGAACCTCACGGGGGATGACTGCCCCTCTTCCTCCTGCAGAGCGGTGGGAAGATTCGGAATACCTGTCTTCGGGTGGGCAGCACACAGCTTTTTACTCATGAGGCCACATCAGTGCCCTAAAACTTAAGCTGTCTGTCACATACAGAGCAAAGCAAAACAAAACCCCTACATAATTTCCTAACTGGACAGTGACTGAGGATGACAGAAGAATTGATGCCTTCAAGTTGTGGTGCTGTAGAAGAGTCTTGAACATATCATGGACCACCAAGAAAACAAATATGTCTATCTTGAAGAGACTGGAACCAAGTTTCTCCTTGGAGTCAAGAATTTTGAAGCTCTGTCTCACGTACTTTGGGCATATGGCCCGGAGAGACCCGTCTTTGAAGAAGGACATCATGCTCAGAAGAGTGGAGAGACCGCACAGGAAAGAGAGAGGAAGACCCCGGATGAGATGGATTGATACAGTAATCAGGGCAATGGGGGTAGGTGTGTCAGAGTGAGTGAGACTGGCTTAGGACAGGGCAGGCTTCAGAGCTGTTGTACACAGGGTCACCATGAGTTGGTGGTGACTCAAAGGCACATAACAACAACAATTGTATTTCAGGATAATTTTAAATGTTTCTTTTCACATAGGTGAATATAAGGTGTATAGTCAATTGGAATTGCCTCTGTGTTAAATAGATTGCATCCCAATGTTAGCTCTTGACTTTATTGTAAGAGCATTTTGGAATTTCTGTATTCATCCATCCACCATCCATCCACTCAGCCCATAGCTACTGTTCGGCATACAGTGTCCGTGTGTAGCCAATGAGCCAGTAGTTGACCCCTCATATGGAGACATAAGATAACGTGATTCAAATCCACCAGCTGCTTGAGAAAAATAGTCTCCTCCCGTGCAATCAGTGGCCTTTGAAAACCTGCTGGATGGTTCAGATCAATCAGACTGGACACAGTTCACATACCAGTTAACACAACAACAGCAATAACAACAGATAGAGACATAGCATATGAGATACTAGATACACAGATACTAAAAGCCGTTGTAAAGAAACTTTTCTGGAAGCTTTTCTCCCCAGGGAATAGAAATTTGTTTTTATTAGATCCCCCCCCCAGTTGTGGTAAATGCTTTGTGTGTAACCAAACATTTGTCATTTCTTCATTCCTCACATGTAGAATTCAGTGGCATTAGTCATGCTCATCATGGTTTTGACTTTAACGACTAATTCTTTTCAGATTTTTCTGTCACCCTTAACAACCCAATGTCCCCTGAGCATTGGGCTCCCCCACCTGCCGCCTAGTAACCATGAACACACTTGGTTTCTACACCTTTGCCTGTTCTACACGTTTAATGCAAGTGACACCATGCTCTGTTTGTCTTTTTGTCGGAGTTCCACTGCCAACCCAAAGTTCAGCGGTTCAAATCCACCAACTATTCTGAGGGAGAAAGATAGTCTCCCCTCATGGGCCTTAGAGCCTTTGCAAACCCTGTGGAGGGTCAGCTATGAGCCGGTTCTGACTTGACAGTTAAAGAGTTATGTTGAATGTTTTCAAGGGTCATAGGCTGTGGAAGGTGTCCGGGTAGAAGCGTCCAGCAGACGGAAGGATTCTCATTGCGTGAGGCCCACTGCACTCTGTAGGTGGAAGTTTAATTTTACTGTTGTTGTTGTTGTTGGTTGTGGTGGTTGTGTGCCATTGAGTCGGAACCAACTCATAGCTGACCCTCCAGCGGGTTTTCAGAGTCAGCAAATCCCACGGGAGGAGATTGGTCATCCTTCTTCCATGGATGTCATATATACCACTACTGGATAACTAACCTGTGAGGTACTTCTCCAGTAAATATCATAGTTGACACTGATGGTGAGTTATTATTTTTTATGGTGAGTTGTTGGGGGGTTTTTTGTGAGTTATTATTTTTAATTTGTATTTTTTGTGAACGTTTACGCAGCAAAATAAGTTCCAGTCAACTGTTTGCACACATGCTTTGCAGAACCTTTGATTCCATGCTTCGCTTTTGGTCGATGTTCTCATTATTTCCATTCTCATTGCTCCATTTTCAGTAACCTTGTCTCTCTACCCTCGTCCTTCTCACCTGTGCTCTATAATCATTTAAGGGCACAAAGGTGAAAGCTATTAACTCACTGACGGTGACTTAAAGGAATAGTGAGATGGTGAATGATTAAGTCCTTTGTTATTTCTCAATGCTCTTGCTTTGGTTTTCTCATTTCATATTTATTTGGCTCCTCCAGGAAGTGTGGGTATATGTGTTGTGGTGTTTTATTTTTTTTAATGGCTGCTCTCCTTGTCTTTTCTAGAAAGAGCGCGATTTAGAATTGGCTGCTCGCATTGGCCAGTCGTTGTTGAAGAAGAACAAGACCTTAACCGAGAGGAACGACGTGCTGGAAGAGCAAGTCGAACACATCAGGGAAGAGGTGAACGAGGGGGCCAGGCTTCCTGGGGACGCCTCTGCGGGGCTTGGGAGCTGTGGACTTGCTTAAGGGGTGAGGTTCACATGAGCTTCCACTTGAGACAGCTCTTGGAGGGAATCCCAAGCCTCGAGAAAAAGATGTGCTGGGAAAGGTGGAGGGTCGAAGAAAGAGAAGAAGACCCTCTTCAAGACGGATTAACACAGTGATGGCAACAACAAGGTGTAGCATTTCAGAGACCACGAGGCTGTCGCAGGATAGGGCAGGGTTCAGATCTGTTGTTCACTGGGTCACTCTGGTCAGCTTGATGGCACCTAACAACAACAAGCCTAGAGATGCCAGCTCTGAATTTGAGGGACCACTGTGGAGATCAGACATGCCTTTCTGTACTTCCTTCTGCATAATATGCCTCCTTCCTCCTGTTTAGACATGGACAGGATTATACAGAGCAAGACAGACTCACTAATTAACCCCACTGGGCCGAAGCCACACAGGCCCGTGGGTATTGGACCAGCCACAGTTCCTGTCCTCCAGCAGTCCCGAGTAGAATCAAGTGGGCTGGTGAAGACCCTCAGAGCTCGACAAGAGTTCACACAGGTCAACACAATCGTGAGACGAGGGTGTGTGACTCAGGCATGGAGAAGGAGACCTTGAAGGAGCTGGCTAAAGGGGTATTGCGATGACCACATCGTCATCATCGCAGTGTAATTTTGCGTATGTAAACCAACCAAAAGTAGCCCATTGTTTTCATGATAGAAACACTCTGACTGATATTTCATTATCTAAATCAATGAGATGTCATTGGTAAAAAAAGAACTGATACCGGAGGCTTGCTTATCTTTGCAAAAACACCAGTTGGTTTTCTGGAAGGGTTGGCGTCTGGACAAATGAGGTGAAGCTTTGGAGTCGGGTGAGGTTACTAGAAGAAAATTGAGAAGCTGGGACCCAGGCCCCACCTTGGGGCTTCTTTCTTCTTCTCTTGGTGATAGTAGCCCTCGTGGCTTCACACAAAAGCTACCCTGCTCCTTGGGAGTAGCCAAAACGCCATTTTTCCTTCGAAAGATTTGAATCTGAAAACTATATTATATTTTCCTTTGGCCTGTCTTAAAATTACCAATCTGTGTGTTGACTCTAAAAACCTTTGTGTGCTTCATATTTTTTTCTCCATATGTGGCACAGTACTCACTGTGTTGTGTGGAAAATCTGGGATCAATCTCCCTCTTCTCCCATCTCCAGATCAAATCAGAAACAAAGAATTATAAGTGAATTGACATACTTGCTTACAGCACATGGTAACAGCCAGTAAATGTGTTTACAAGCACAGGTTGGTTGGTTTTCTCAACACCTTAAACGATTTTCAAAACTGCCCAGCTGATGACCAGTGCCCGATGGCCACCCCTCTCCTGTTTCCGAGAAGGCCGTCTAGGGGTCATTGGCAGTGGAAGGGGGCTGACCAGTTCAGCTGGGAGGCCTCGGAGGATGTGTGAGTTTCAGGGTGTAACTGGGAGGTTTTCCGAGTGTGAAACTTGAGACCAAGGTTGATGAGCTCCCTTTGTGGCTGGGTGGCCAGAGCTGGCATTGCCCACATCCTGCTCCGAGGTGGAATCTGTTGTCTGCAGAATGAGCTCCTCTTTCGTGGGGTAACTTGATCCATTCCACTCGATGTCTGCTCAGCCTGGTCATCTGGCTCCTTCCAGAAGTCTGTCCACTGTCCCATCTACCCAGCCAACATTCTAGAACCTTCTAGGCCCTTCTCATCTCTTCTCTATACCTGGGTAAAAATGATCAGCTTAGGCAGGGGCATTTCTGTTAAAAAGCAAGTAATTTCTTTCTTTCTTAAGTAACAATGTCAGTCTGGAGACTAAGGTGCGCCTGATTCAGGCCATGGTCCTTGCAATCACTTCCTATGCATCAGAGAACTGGACAATGACTAGGGATGATAGAAGGGAAGTTGATGCCTTTGAGCTGTGGTGCTGGAGAAGAGTATTGAATGTACCATGGACTGCTAGGAGGACAAACAAGTTCATTCTTGAGAGGGTGAAGCCAGGCTGCTCCTTGGAGACAAGGATTCTGAACCTCTCTCTGACATCATACTTTGGATGTGTTGCAAGGCGGGATCAGTCCTTAAAGAGGGATGTCATGTCTGGGAGGGTGGAGAGACAACGCAAGAGAGGAAGACCCTCGGTGATGGATTGATTCAGTGACGGGGGTGATGGGGCTCAGTGAGTCAGAGACAGTGAGATTGGCACAGGACAGAGCAGGGTTTAAGGCTGTTGTACAACGGGTAGGTATGAGTTGCAGGTAACTCGACGGCACATGACAACAAGCGGGGTCAGACGCCACCGTCGGTTCCCTTTGAATAGTGCAGACTCCACGGAATGCCTTTGCCTGGGTTGTGGGGAGGAGGAGTGCTAACCCCTGCCGCTGAGCGGTCAGTGTCTGACAGCCTGGCCTCCGCTGCAGGTGTCCCAGCTCCGGCACGAGCTGTCCATGAAAGATGAGCTGCTGCAGTTCTACACCAGCGCCGCCGAGGAGAGCGAGCCCGAGTCCGTCTGCTCAACCCCGTGAGTCACGCTGGCTCCTGTCCGTGTCCTCAGAGTCCCCGCGGCAGGGCCACCACCCGCAGGGCAGGCCAGCGAGTCTCCACACTGCGAGTCTCTGAGGGCCTCAGCCAGGCTGACTGGGGAGCATTGGAGTGGGGAACAGAAGGCTGGGTTCGGTCTTCCCTTTGTGGGGTCCCCTCACATATTTCCCCGTTGGAGTTAAGCTTGTGGGTATCATGGAGCTCGGTTTTGGTCCATTGTGAAGACAGGTCACAGGGTGAGCTGTGCTGCTGGAGTAAATACAGTGACGCCTGTGAAAGTTGGGTTTTCCTGGACCTCAAAAGTTGCCCATCTCTGACAGGTGTGCAGATTGGCCATTTTCCTGTTCCTCTGTTAACAGAAAATAGTACCATATTCCACCTTGCATAGGTGTCGGAATTTGCAGGTTTTACTGTGCAAGGTGTTGAGGGGACAGGGGGGTTGGGGCTTTGGGACAGAAGAGGTGGCAGCATTAAACCAGCGGGACCTCACATTGTAAGCGTGAATGCTAGAGCCAGAGGCCTGGCTTCTGATCTTGGCTCTGTGGCAGGAGACTAGCTGTGGTCACTTAGCCTCCCTATGCTTATTTTCCCACTTGTAAAAGGGGGTTAATAGTAGGAATTTTCGGGAGCTCTGGTGGTCTGGTGGGAAGAAGCCCCACTGCAGTCCCAAAGGCACGTACTCGAGGGAGATGGATGGACAGTCAGTCGCCTCCTGTGCGATTAACTGCCTCTGAAAACCCACCTGAGGGTCAGCTGTGGGTCAGTTCCCACTCCACGGTACACAACAACCACACAATAGAACTTTTATTATAGGGTTACAAGGATTAAGTGACTTAACATACACAGAGTTCTTAAAGTGGGGCTTTGGCACATGAAAGGTCATTATAAATATTAAAGAAGTGCCCAGACGTCTTGAATCCTGTGGGTTCCAAATAGCCTTGGGTCTCCTGAGGTGACAGGATGGCTGCAGATTGTGGCCAGAGGGTAGGGAGGTGGCTCTGCAGTGGTGGCTAGCCTGGGCATAGGTGTCACATTCCTGGGGACAGGGGAAGGCTATTTGATAGGTCACTGTTGCGCCCAAAAGGTTCACAAACTCAGGCCGCCTTTGGGCCCTACACGTGGCCATCCAGGCAGCGGGAGGAATGGTCTTCCTCGGATTGAAACTGTGCTCCCTCCCACAGATTGAAGAGGAACGAGTCCAACTCCTCCGTCCAGAACTACTTTCATCTGGATTCTCTTCAGAAGAAGCTGAAGGACCTCGAGGAGGAGAACGTCGTGCTAAGATCTGAGGTGCGTGCACCGTGCTGGGAGGGTGTTACTCTGGCAGGGACAGCTGAGGTTATGGGGTCATGCTCAGAGGTGACAGTCCGAGGAAGACCACCTGAGCTTAACACGATGCCACATTCAGCTCTCAGTGGGTAGACCGCACACCAGTGCTGGGCTGTGCTGTCAGGGTACACGCTGTTCCAGTTCCGGCTCGGGTGGACCACGCTGGAATTACAGTGTGGGCTGAGGAGAGTGGGGCCAAACCCCAGCATGAGGCCCTGGCCGAGGCCCTCCAACCTGACCCAGTGCTGAGAGAATGACCTGGAGTCTTTGCTGAGTGCCTTGTTCTCCCCCAGCTGCTGGCCAGGTTGTGGGGTCTAAGGAAATAGTCCACAGGAGTGTGGAGACACAGTCTTCAGTAACTCACAAAGGCAGAGCTGAGACAGCTGAGGTTGTGACCTTCTGAGTATTCCCTGTTGGCCAGGTACCGGGCCGGCCACCTTACCTGTTGATTTTTAAGTCTTCACCATGAGGTTGGAAGCTGGTTACTGGTTCATGGCTGCAAAGCCAGGGCCAGACCTACTTCCCAAGGTCGTGCAAGTTAGTAAATAACAAAGCAGGATTAGACTCCGTGACTCCTAAGTCACTATCGAGAATGAGTGTGTGCAAACTTGGCACTGTTTGTCCTGATTACCAGAGAGCCTGGGCCGCCCAGCCGGAGACATGGAGTAGCCTGTCTGTCAGGCCTTTGTCACGTTTGGACTGTGTGATGTGTGTCAGCTGGCCCAAGCCCTCCTTAAGGACACAGACCCTGTCACCTTGAGAGAAGCTTCAGTCTTGACCTAGAGAGATCTTCTTAAGGGAAGGGGCTTGTCCCCTGAAACTTCACCTTCCCCCACCCTCGTTTCCTAGTATACACAGAGGCATGTACCCAGAGCAACCAGGAATGTCGCCCAAGAACACAGCCCAGAGCTCCCGGTGCTCAGTTCACTACTGTCCCCTCCAGCTCCCACTCCAGTCTGAGGCCCATGGCAGCTCTGTCAGAATTTTCAGCTAAAGCCAGCTGAGAGAATCTGCCTGTAGCTGCTGCAGCTCTGATTTCAGGAGCCTCCTGTCTCCTCCTGGGACCAGGGCCTCCCCACGACCACCTTCTCCAGCCGGGAAGACGTTGCCTCTGTGCCTTCAGGGTCCATCTTCCCACCTCACCTACTGGGATCAAGGATTTGAGTCCAGAGGGAGCCCTTGGTCTCTGAATGTTCATGTTTCAAGTTGCATTTTCTTCTTATAAAGTAAAAAAAAGTTTTAATTCAAGTTCAGGACTGGGAGTGCGTGATCAATGATAGCTGTTATTGTTATTCTGAGAATACCAGAGCAGTGTCTTGGGCAGTTAGGGACACAAAAAGAGTCCATGTTTTTAAGCCAGTACAGCAACTAATGAACAGCTAGACAGGACAGACACTAATGGGTCGTTCCGGGAGTGGAGCAGACATGGGTTTAAGGAAGCCTGTTTGGCACTTTAGTGGTTTGTGTGGCGCCCTCTAGTGGCACACTTTTTTAAAAGCCCCTTTTCAACATCTAGAAATTTGGGTTGACCTTACATGTTAATGCTTGCCGAATGAAATCAGGAGACACATTTCATTGGGAAAGCCAGCTGTCAGGGACCTCTCCAGAGTACTTAAGAGCAGTGACGTCAGGCTGGAGACTAAGGTGCGCCTGATCCAGGCCCTAGTCTTCGCAATTGTGTGCTATGCGTCAGAGAGCTGGGCAAGTGACTAGGGATGATTGAAAGATAATTGATGCCTTTGAGCTGTGGTGCTGGGAGAAAGTGTTGAATATACCATGGACTGCAAGGAGAACAAATGGGTTTGTCCTCAAGTGGGTGAAACAGGGCTGCTCCTTGGAGTCAAGGATTCTGAAGCTTCATCTGACATACTTTGGGCATGTTGCAAGGAGGGGCCGGCCAGTCCTTGGAGAGGGACATCATGCTTGGGAGGGTGGAGGAACAGTGCAGGAGAGGAAGACCTTCGATGAGATGGATCAATTCATTGATTGGGGTAGTGGAGGTAGGTGTGTCCGAGACAATAAGGTTGGCACAGGATAGAGCAGGGGTTAGGGCTCTTGTCCATAGGGTCGCTATGAGTCGCAAGCAACTTGATGTCACATAACAACAACAACAAATTAAACAATATATCTAAGTAGCTTTGGTAGCCTAGTCTGTAGGGTGATGGGCTGCTAACCCAAAGGTGGGGTCTCTGCTGGTTCAAATCCACCAGTAGCTCCATGGAACAAAGATGGCGGTCTTCTCCCATGCATTTTATAGCCTCCGGCAAACCCACTGAAGGCTCAGCTATGAGCTGGTTCTGACTCAGCAACTGGGTTTTGGATTTTGTTTACATATTGGTGGAGCGACAAGAGGGGGAGGAGGGGTGAGGGGGAGGTGCCAAGTGGAAGTTTTCACCCTGTAGCCCTCGTCCACGCCAGCAGTCTCGGGGTGAATGCCTCCCTCTAAGTGAGCCTTGTCCACAGGCCTGCCAGCTGAAGACAGAGACCATCACCTACGAGGAGAAGGAGCAGCAGCTGGTCAACGACTGTGTGAAGGAGCTGAGTAAGTCCCTGACCTCACTCTCCCTCCCCCCCCTTTGGGCTTTCCTGTATCTTCCATCGTTTTGATAAATAGTTGATCAGCGCTAATTCAGTGGTCACATTGTCGCCTTCCGTGGGGACACAGATCCACTTCTCAACCTGTTCCCACAAGCCTGTTAGGGGAGGCTTACAAATTGCTGTTATGCTGAACCTGCTTGAGCAGAACTTCTAGACTAAGATGAACTAAAACAAATGCCTGGCTGTTTACTTTTGAAAATCAGGGGCCGACTTAGAGGCAGCTAAAAGCAAAAACATGATCAAACAGACTTCACTGCCTTTGATAACTCCAGGCCTCCTGCCGACTTAGAGAGTTGGTAGTATTTCCCTCAAAACCAGAAACTTCCTCCGTTCTTGTGCGTCACCTTCCAACAATCCCGTTTTATGAGAACCTGGGTGCTAGGTTGCCAGCCATAAATTGTCTCCATCTCCCCCCCGGAATGGATGCTTTTAGCTCAGACTTTGATTTTGAAGGTTGGGATTATTTAATGCCCAAGTTCTTGACTGCTGACCAGAGTTTGGCAGTTCAAACTTCCCACTGCTCCCTGAAAGAAACCTGTGACAGTTTCCTTCCATAAATATTTACGGCCTCAGAATCCCCGTAGAGAACTTCTGCTCTGTCCCGTAGGGTCGCTGTGAGTCACAGTTGACTGGGCAGCAACCGCTTTGGGTTCCGTTGTTTTTACTCAAGTTCAGCCCAGCTGCATCAATTTGTGCTGAGATGTGGCAACGCGGATTTCTAGTAACTAGATTTGTGAGAGTTGAAGCTAGAGGTCTCACCTTTCAAAATAATTACTCCCTGCCCCCTTGCTCTTTCCACTCTTATACAGGTTGTTGTTGTTGTTATGTGCCATCGAGTCGCTTGCGACTCATAGCGACCTTATGTACAACAGCCCTAAACGCTGCTCTGTCCTATGCCAATCACACTGTCTCCGACACACCCACCCCAATTACCACAGTCATTGAATCAATCCACCTCATAGAGGGCCTTCCCCTCTTGGCAGATGAAACACACCCTCTGTTCAGATCTAGTGGATTGAGTTATGCCTCGGATAACAGGACCCTGAAGCCTGAGAGAACTGTAACCATGCACCTGCAGTGGGTGCACGGGTGGAACGTGGGAATTCATGCATTAAAACACACCTTGGTGTGGTGTGACACCTCCTGGCTGCCTCTCCGAGGTGGGGTGCTTTTTCTGGGGAGCCAGCTTTGGTCCGAGGAGATCACACTCCACCCGGAGCCCAAGAATCGCAGCTGCGGACCATCTCCCCTCTCAGGCATCACTGAGCTGTAGGAAAGCCCACCCCCGTTTTCTTGTGTCCTCTCCATCCCCAGGCCTCATCTTTGCTGATAACCACTCCCTTATGATAAAGGTGGCCCGTCTCGTGCAGACTCCTGAGACCCTGCTCCCGCTGTGTCTGTGTGTACGGCTTTCTCGCTTCCTCCCTTGACTTGTCCTTTCTCCGTCCAAGGGGATGCCAACGTCCAGATCGCCAGCATCTCAGAGGAACTGGCCAAGAAGACTGAAGATGCGGCCCGTCAGCAGGAGGAGATCACACACCTGCTGTCCCAGATTGTGGATTTGCAGAAGAAGGCAAAGGCGGTGAGGATGCTGGGCGTCTCGCGCGGTTTTGGAGCGTGGGGAGGGACGTTTTCTGCCAGACGGGGACCTTTAACTTCGTCTTTTAGGAGTTAATGCTACTCCTTTGGAGGAAAAAAACCCGTGTATTCAGTAGTGTAAAATAGACTGCTCTGTATTAACAAGGAGTCCTGCTTGTCAATCTCTTCTCTCATAAGAATAATCTGAAAATAATACAGTTCCTTATGAAATATATGGTAAGCGCAGGGTTTTGGTGTTTAATATGTGGAACTCTAGTTGAGAATTCTGACTTCTGGAGAAGCACCCAGAGTGTTTTAGCAGAACAGCATCTGATTTAAGAGGAAGAAGCAAAAAAAGAAAAGATCCCCATGTCAGGCCTTTGTTATAATTGGGAAGTGCTTTCCGAGGGCAGCTCTTGGCTTTGGAAGAGGGCGGGTGGTGAGACAGAGAAAGAATTTGCATTTAGGAAAGACGCTGCCTTCGAAATTACAGAGAAGGTGATATTTGACTCCAGTGTAGGATAAAAATATTCGTATCTAGATTTACCGAGAGCGTAAAGAATCAAGTTAGGAAAGTTAGACTTGTCCAAGTGTTTTGAAATTGGAATGGACTTGTGTCTACTTCATCGTAGTGCGCGGTGGAGAATGAAGAACTCGTGCAGCACCTGGGGGCGGCGAAGGATGCCCAGCGACAGCTCACAGCTGAGGTCAGCATTTCTCCCTTTCCCTGCGGCATCTGAGGGCCGTGGAGGCTTCTCTGCCTTGATCATGCATGTCTTAAGAAGCACACAGTGTATTTGGTTTTTAGTATTTATATTTAATTTTATTTTTATGCATCACATTTGTAGTTGTTATGTGCTGTTGAGTCGCTTGCAACTCATAGTGAAACTATGTACCAGAGCCCTAAACCCTGCTCTATCCTGTGCCAACCTCACTGTCTCTGACACACCGACTCCCATTGTCCCAATCACTGAATCAATCGATCTCATCGAGGGTCTTCCTCTCCTGCATGCTATCCTTCCACTCTCCCAAACATGATGTCCCTCTCCAAGGACTGGTCCCTGCTTGCAACATGCCCAAAGTATGTCAGACGAAGCTTCAGAATCCTTGACTCCAAGGAGCAGCCTGGTTTCACCCTCTCCAGGGCGAACCTGTTTGTTCTTCTACCAGTCCATGGCCTATTCAGCATTCTTCTCCAGCACCACACCGCAAAGGCATCAATTCCTAGCTCCTATATTACACTGATTTTCAGGGCTCACTTGTGGGCTCTTGAAGTGTTGGCCCCACACCCACCCAGAGCGGGGCCTGCAGGACACATGACCCATATTAGAGCCAGAGCCCAACACGGAGCAGCCCACATTCAGTGACGCAGCCGGAAGCGCTCGCAATGGGGCGTTTAATTGGGGCAGAATAATTTCTGCTTTCTCAAAGTTGTTTTATTTCATTTGACAGTGGGTAGCACTTTGGGATCCTTGGACTCTTGCCTGAAAGGGACAGCATATTAGTTCAGGGGTAGAATTTCCACTTCCTGTGCAGGAAACCTGGGTTTGAATCTCACCACCGTCGCTCTTATGCAGTTACCACTCATCTGTTCGTGCGGGCCTTGGTTGCTGGGATGCTTAAGAGGTTTTAGCGAAGCTTCCAGACTAAGAGCAGGAGGAAAGGCTTGGTGATCACCTGAAAACCAGCCAGAGGAAGCCCCATGGGACACAGCAGTTTGATCTGCAACAGACAGCATTTCCTTCCATTGTGCCTGGGGTCACCCCGAGTTAGGTGGCAGCTTCACCACAACTAACAACCATTGCACTTGTCCCAAATACAAGACTCAAGTTCAAGGGCTTAGGAGCGCTTGGCATTTGGCTCCAGGTCCACAGAGCAGCGGATTCCATGTGCTGCCGGGGGACTCTGCTCTCCTGGTTTATGGGATGAGCAGGTGGGTGTTCACTGGGTCTCCGTATCCCCCGCCCATCCTCATCTTCTCTACAGCTGAGGGAGCTGGAGGACAAGTACGCAGAGTGCATGGAAATGCTGCACGAGGCCCAGGAGGAGCTGAAGAACCTGCGTAACAAGACCATGCCCAACACCACGTCCCGCCGCTACCACTCGCTTGGCCTGTTTCCCATGGTGAGACTCCCACCCCACCCCGTGTCCTCCCTGATACCCCGTGCCCACCCAGGGAGCAGGGTCCTCCCTGTAGGAGGGTGAGATTTGCCACGCTAACAACAGAAGTTGAGTCTTTGCCATAATTTCTCATTTGGCAAGGAACTCGGGTACGTGTTGGGTTGCTAATGGGAAGGTCAGCTGTTCGAATCCACCCTGCCCGCCCACTCGATCTGCAGTCTCCAGGCCAACCTGGATTGTTTCCTGCTTCCCTTTTTCCCTGCATCTCTTCTTAGCCCAGCCATCCCCACACTTTATGTTTTCTGTGTACTTGGGGTTCACTGTGCTTCATTTCCCTGCTCTCAGCACAAAGGCTGTCTTTTAAGAGTTAAGAAAAGTCGCATCGAAAGCCCACATTTCGATTTCTTCTTGGACGAAGTCTCAGCTTTTCATTTTTGCTGAGCTGAAGCTTTTGTTGCCCTGTTTCTGTAGCTGCTGATCCAGCCCAGTTTTTGAAGAGGGTTATTTTTAAAGTGCAGCACGCATGGCAGGTATTTAAAGCAACCTTCAGACTGTACGGTGCCTGTTTCTGGAGCACAGCGCCCAGCCCTGCCTCTTCTGCTCTCAGCCCTAGTAACTACCGAAGGCTTTAGCGAGTTGCGGTTTCCTCTGTTATGTTTCCTGTTGCCTTGACATTTGACTGGAGTTCTTAATCAAGGGTCCACAGATGGAATGGGGGTAGTCTGTGACTTTTTGGCTGGCAGTGACCCAGCCCTTCCCCTCAGGTTGGACCTTTGGCCACTTGGGTGTCCTGAGGCCTCTGCAGGTGCTTCTCTGCCCACACCTGGGCCTTCCGGCATCTGCCCACCATGGTGTGAAGGATTGTCCACTGGACTTCCCCGTATTCATTGAGGCCTGCGGGTAGTACAGGGAGAGAACTTGTCAGGCAGCCCAGCAGCTGTCTCTGTGCCAGATCCTTGGACGAGCCCTGGGGAGGCACCAGATCCTGGAGGACAGTCATGAATCAGACTCTGAGGGCCCCTGTGTCACCTTCTAAACATCCATAAGCTTTGGAAGAATGTGGAAATTTCTTCTTTTCTGTCAAACCTTCCCTCCCCTCCACGTTCCAAAAACATGTCTCTACTCCCATATGGAATGAGAACTGGTGATACAGTGGTTACCTGCTCGGCTTCTCACTGAAAGGTCAGCTGTTCGAACCCACCAGCAGCTCCATAGAAGGGGCTTGGCAACCAGCTCCCATGAAGATTCCAAAACCCGTTGTCATCTTGTCATTTCCAACCCACAGTGACCCTGCAGGACAGAGTGGAGCTGCCCCGTTGGGTTCCCAGGGAGCCCTGGTCCATAGGAGGAGTCGATAGGCAGTTGCGCTGTGAACCCACAGGTCACACCTCTCTGGCGGTTCGAGTCCAGCAGGGAGAAAGATGAGCACTCTCACAGTCTCCTCCCATGTGACTTGCAGCCCCCTGGAGGGTCAGCTGTGGGTCTGTTCCGACTCGATGGCAATGGATGAGTGAGTGACTCTTTAAGAACGCAGACTGCCGTGTCTCTGTCCTGCAGACCGTCTGGTGGGTTCAAACTAACGACTTCTCAGTCAGCGTTGCACTTAGACATGGTGCCACCAGGACTCCCCCCTTAAAGGTCACAGTCTAGGAAATGATGGGGAAGTCCTGCTACCACGTGGGGTCACTGTGAGTTAATATCACGTTGGTGGCCCCCGTCAACAACAGCATTCCCCTGCTAATACTGCACATTTGCTGTTTTCCCGGAGGAGCACGGGCCTGCTTTCAGACACTCAGATGCACCTAGTGTAAGGGACTGTGCTCAGGGCTCCTTGATGCCTGCTGTGTTCGGGACCTGACCTGGGGGCCGCCAGCCTGAGCTTCCAGCCCATGGAGAATGTTGTTAACTGGCTTTGTGAGAGGTCTGGGGGCCTCCAGTGCTCGGGTTGCTAGCCCGGCTGCTGGCCTGTCCTCCTGAAACTCCGCTCACTTGGCGTGTGTCTTCTGACTCTCCCCAGGACTCGTTGGCCGCGGAGATCGAGGGGACGATGCGAAAGGAGCTGCAGATGGAGGAGCCCGAGTCTCCAGACGTCACGTACGGCCCCACCAGCTTTCCCTTCTAAGCCCCCAGAGACTAGCTTGTAACTCCTGGTGGTCAAAGGTAGCGGGGTTCAGATCTCAGACACCGACTGATACAGTCGTCAGCCTGTGGTCCTTCCTAACCCCAGCTAAGGGCCTCCGACAACCCCCAGCTTCTCTCGTTGGGCATTAAGGATTTGTGATAGAATTTTAGGGACCTGGGGAGAGAAAGGCATTTATCTTAACACAAGTTAGCTCCACCTTGACAGCCTTTCAGTGTGTTTCTCCTTCCATGAAATGCATTCCTTTGGGGGGAAAAGAAAATTCATTGGGTAAAGAGAAACAGCAGTGCAGCATGAGATGCAAGGGGCTTTTTAAGGAGCAGGGACAGGACTTTGGGGCCTTTCTGGTGCAGCTCCCTCCCTAATGTCTCATTTCTGGGTGTTTGTAAGAGACACGCACCCCTCATTCTACTTGACTTCCTCTCCACTTCAGTCTCATCGGTAGAACTGAAATGGAATCCTGGGAGAGGAGAAATACCCTTAAAGTTCCATAAACCTGCAGAGGCCCCCGCGTCTCAGAACAAAGTGGCCGCGGTGGAAATGTCCCTGCGTCTTTCCCCTTAAGAGGCAGGGTACCGGCTAGCATCAATGTGTGTCTCAGCCTTTAAAAGTTTCCTAGTCTGGTGCTTATTATCTCACTGTACAAGACTAATTTTAAGTCCTTTTTTAGGGGACTGTTGTTGTTGTTAGGTGCTGTTGAGTTGACTACGGTGCATAGTGATTCCACATAATATCTCTGAACCCTGCTCTGTCCTGCTCCAGCCTGTCTCTGACACACCTACCCACATCACCCCAGTTATTTTGTTAATCCGTCCTATCCAGGGTCATCTTCTCCTGCACTATCCCTTCACCCTCCCAAGCATAAGGTCCCTCTCCGAGGACCAGTCCCTCAGCATTTATTCTGTGAGATTTTATTTGATGCCTCCTCCGTGTGCCCTGCAGTGAGCACAGTACACAAATGCCCTTGTGCAGCTTACATTCTAGTTAACGTGTGCCGGAGCACTAGCTGGAGACAGAGAGCTTTGGTAATGTTGCTTGGCTGCTCAGGACAAGCTTGGCAGTTTGAACCCACACAGCAGCTCCACGTGAGAAAGAGCTGGTGACCTCTCGTACAGACCACAGGCCAGGAGACCCTGGGGGGCAGTCCAGCCCTGTCATGGCGGGCTGCTGAGTTGAAAGTGGTTCAGTCGCATGTAACAACAGTGATAAGAGCTCCGGAGACAAAGGAGCATAAAGACATTTTGTTGTTGTTTTTGCTGTTGTCCATGTTAATGTTCTTTACCAAGATCACAATGGAAATGCATCTGTTTTTCTTCTACCTTCCTTATTTTCCCATGAAAATTAGACAAGTGAAAATGCAGCCAGATTAGATAGACCTACACCCTCAAAGTGAGATCTATACCTTTTAACTCTCAAAACAGGTCTTTTGAGGTAAATCTCAAAAGAGATTTACCCAATAAAGTACATCTTTTTATTTACTTTTTCCTTTCTGTTTTTATTTTGTATTTGCTTACAAATTCATATACATTGTGTTTCACGGTATTCCTCATTCAGACTGTGTTTCATACAATCATTCCCATGCATTGTGATATTTGTAGGTCAAACTTTCGAGAAGTCAAACGAAATCTCTCTCTTGCTAGCATCCCCTTCAGAACACAACTGTGTATTAAATAAAGTCAAAAGTCCAGCAGTCCCCAATCAGCTCCAGCCCCCCACAGCAGCCCTCCCTCCAGCACATTTCCTGGGCTGTAAATTGTCACAGGAGGAAGCAGCCTGTCTTTCTCCTGAAGAGCAAGCAGCTGGTAGATTCAATCTTCCAACCTTTTGGCTAACAGCTTGACCCATCACCAGCTTCGCCCCGACGGCTCTCTGAACCATAAATAAATGGTTTGAGTCCTGATTTCAATGGTTTTGGAGTTTCTTGAATTTTATATTGTGGAGGTGGCGCCCTAAGAAACAGGTGGAAGGTCGAGCTCATGGCACTGTGGTTAAAGCATTTTGACTATGGATCAAAGGTTGGTGTTTCAAACCCACCAGCCATTCTATGGGAGAATGATGGGACCCTCTCCTCCTGGTAAACTTTACAGCCTCAGAAACCCCATGGGGCGGTTCTAGTCTCCCTTGCGCTGTGGGGTCCCTATGACTTAGAATCTATTGATCGCAGTGGGTTTGGTTTGGGTCTGAGGGTTTGTTGTGAGTCAGATGCCCCTGTGGCTCCCAGGTTGACCATCTGTAGAGAGCTTAACTCCGGGGTCACGCCAGCATTGGCTTATTCTTGGATGTTCTGCGTTCCTCCCAGTCACCAGAAGCGTGTCTTTGAGACCGTGAGGAACATCAATCAAGTCGTCAAGCAGAGGTCTCTGACCCCCTCACCCATGAACATCCCCGGCTCCAACCAGTCCTCGGCCATGAACTCCCTCCTGTCCAGCTGCGTCAGCACCCCCAGGTCCAGCTTCTACGGCAGTGACGTCACCAACATTGTGCTCGACAACAAGACCAACAGCATCATCCTCGAAACCGAGTCGGACCTGGGGTATGTGGACAGGAGCTTTTCCTTTTCTGTTGCAGGAGAGGGGGTGTGGCTTGAATCGTGGGGTTCAGTACAGGAGGCTGGCAGCAATCCCCAGACCTTGCACTTCTCCCATATGTTCCACCCCCCCTCACCAAGTATATGCTTATTTTTGATACTGATGTTTTAGATAGATAATTTAATAATTTGAAATATTGTTGTTGTTGTTTTTTGTTTTTACATTTTTATTTTTATTTTTTATTATTTTGTGTACGCGTACCGTCAAATCAGATCTGACTGGTATAGGAGGAGATTGTCCCTCCTTTTCCAGCAGAGCATCTGGTGAATTTGAACTGTGTGCCTCTGGGATTGCAGTGCAGCTTCTTGCCACTAGGCCACCAGAGCTCCCTTGTTGTTGTTTTTATGTGCTATTGAGTTGTCTGCAACCCATAGGTGATCCTTTGTGCGGCAGTTCTGAACCTTGCCCATCCCGAGCCACTCTCACTGACTCCCACCCACTCAGTCCCATTGCCCCAGTTATTGTCTTAATCCATCTCACCCCAGATGGTGGGTGCAGAGAGCCAGGGGTGCAGCACGTATCCACCAGATCCTCCCTCCTTGCGGTGGTCCATGCAGAATGTGCCCCGCCTTCCATTCCCCCAACCCACTGTCTGTTCTCTGCACTGTTTACTGCAACTGTAATGACAGTTCTAGGCTGATGGGTTCTGTCCAGTGTTGGAGTCCCAGCTCCTTTGGGTCAAAGCTGAAGTGTCTCTTAAACCAACTGCCTATTAAGGAATTAGCAGCCTGAAGGTTTTTTCCTAAGGGTTCACAAGGGCGGTGTTTCTAGGGACAGAGCGTTATTTGTTGTGTTGTTATTACGTGCCATCAAGTCGCCTGCAACTCCGAGCGAGCCTATGCACAAAAAATCTGCACCTTTATTTGTTGTTGTTGTTGTTGTTGTTGTGCTGTCAAATCACTTGCAACTCATATTTGCTGTATGCACAGTAGGCGCGAACCCTGTCCTATCCTCCAGCAGAATATCTGGTGGATTTGAACCACTCACCTCTGGGATTGCAGTGCAGCTTCTTGCCACTAGGCCACCAGAGCTTGCCCAAATACTAATTTTTAAGAAGTGGTCATTGTTTTCTTTGAAAAGTAAAAGAAAAATTATTTCATTGTTATACCATCCCTCCCCCACAAGTGCACACCGCTATGCAGCCTTCATTTTGGACTCAATGACAATAATACCTTATCATATATCCCTTTTAAACAGCTCTCTCTCTCTTCTGTTTCAATGAAGAGGGGTGGGTGGGGAGAAAAGTGCGACAATGAATGAATGGAAATCCAAAATCTCTGTAAATTTTCGTTAAAATTAATAATAATTTTTTAAAAAATAAATAGGGGAGCTCTGGTGGCCTAGTGGCAAGAACCTGCACTGCAATCCCAGAGGTACGTGGTTCAAATCCACAAGATGCTCTGCTGAAGAAGGAGGGGCGATCTCCTCCTGTAACAGTCAGATCCGATTTGACGGTACACACATCATCATCATCATCATAATTTATAATTAATATTAATAGTAATTAAAATATGATGATGATGATGACATTTCGGGGGTCATGCGTGTTGCCCCCACGTTCACAGCCCTGTGTAAGGCCCACCTTGGGTTCCCCGGGCTGTCCTGCGTTTGTGTAGGAGTCTGCCCCGCCCAGCCTTTGCCCCGTAACCGCGCACGTCTGCCCTCTTGCAGGAGCGAGGAGCGCAAGAAGCCTGGCACGCCGGGCACCCCGGGCTCGCACGACCTGGAGGTGGCCCTGCGGCGCCTGTCCCTGCGCCGGGAGAACTACCTGTCGGAGCGGCGCTTCTTCGAGGAGGAGCAGGAGCGCAAGCTGCGCGAGCTGGCCGAGCGGGGCGAGCTGGCCAGCGGCTCGCTCACGCCCACCGAGAGCATCATGTCGCTGGGCACGCACTCGCGCTTCTCCGAGTTCACCGGCTTCTCCGGCATGTCCTTCGGCAGCCGCTCCTACCTGCCCGAGAAGCTGCAGATCGTCAAGCCGCTGGAAGGTGATCACCGGGGGCCCCGGCCCCTCTCGGTCCTCCTCGGAGACTCCCTGTGGGCCCTGATCCACCAACGCAAGGCGGGCCACCCCTGCAGTGCCTACTCCTTCTTCTTCCGAGATAGCCACCCGCGCTGCTGGTTCGAGTTCCTCTGAGGGTCTGAGGGTAGCTCGGGGTTGCAGGTTTGCAGACAGCACACACAGGTAGCGGGTAGCCAGGACTAAGCTCAGCCACCCAGCCAAGGAACGTGGTCCTGGTCGGGTGATTGCCTTCCTTTTGCTTTCAGAACCATAGCAGTAGTGACGTTTTCTACAGGATGCAGGGGCAGTGCTCTGTGCTCAGAAGTTAATTCACTCTGCCTTTTGAGGGAGCTCTCGTGGCCTAGTGGTAAGAAGCTGTGCTGCAGTCCCAAAGGCATGTGGTTCAAATCCACCAGCGTCTCTACAGGAGGATGGGAAGTCTCCTCCTTTGTGATTTACTGCCTCTCTAAACACACTAGAGGATCAGCTGTGAGTCTCTTATAACTCCACAACACACAACAACAACGGAATGCCTTCTGAGTAGTGAACAAATACTTTGATAGAAATTTCGGGATCTGGAAGCAGAGGAGTGCATAGCTAATGCTCTAAGTTGGTTTTATTTTTGTGATTTTTTTTTTTTTTAGTGACCACATGATAGTCATTTGTCCATTCACAGTTCTGAGCAACCTTCCCAGGCTTCTGTAACTTAGAGACCAGGAGTTTCCAGCCTCCTAAAGTCTACATTTTCCAGGGCAGTTCACTTTTTAGTATCAGGAGCACCCCAGGTACTTAGCTTCTTAGAAAAGTTCACCTTTTTAAAAGCTTCCCCCCCCTCCCCCCGCATTGGACTGTTAACTGAAAGGTTAGCAGTTCAAACTCATCCAGAGTGCCTCCAATGAAAGGCCAATTGGCTCTTGAAAGGTCACAGCCCCCGGAAAACCTCTGGAGTCCTGTTCTGTACTGTCCACCTGGGGCCGCCCTGGGTTGGAATGGACTTCATGGCAACTGGTTGGTTTATTTTTTTTTTTCTCCTTCATTTTTGTGGTTGATAGGGGGGTTTTCTCTCTCCATTCCCGCCCCCCCTCCCCCCGTGCCAGAAAGCTACCAGGCTTTTTTCTCCTTAATTTATAAGCCCATGTAAGTTTATGAGAAAGTGTTTTAAAATTCTGACATACAGCCTAAACAATTCCTATAAAACGTTTCCAACCTTTTTTAAAAAAGAAAAATCATTACTTCCTCTGCTTGTCCTCAGTTTTAAACGTATTTTCCTAATTGCCACGCCATGTAATTTTAATACCACAAATATACTATTTAAGGATATATAGGTCTGCGTTTTATGTGTAAAAAAGCAGTACATTTATTTCTATTTCCTTCTCACAAGAATGTTTTCTCCCCCTTGGTGACAGTGATGCCCTGTTGAGGAGGCATGCTTCAGGGTGAGGCTGTGCTTGGAAATATCCCCCAAGACCTCAAAGGGTCCTTTAAAAGGAAGGAAGAGGGTGAATTCTCCTTCTGCATTCATGATTGTTTTAAAGTGTATCATTTAGGGCCTTCTTAGAGTTCAGGAAAGGTTTGACTCCCTCCTTTTTCATTTGTTTATTCAGCTGTAAGCTTTGCGATTATGTTCCGATCCACAATGTCTGTTTTTTCTTTCAATAAAGTCTTCCATTTCTGCAATTTTATTTTCTGCCTTTCTTTTCTTTTTCCTCTCCTGTTTCTCACAGATCATTGGAATGTATCATCTCTGTCTTGTCTGCTTTCTGTATTTCATGAGGTCATTGATGAGTTTGACATCCATTGTCCAACCACATTGCAGGGAGTGAGTTTTGTTGATTGATTTTGACCAGTTCTTTTTCTTTTTTTATTTTTTTTTAAGCTTGTGATAATTTTGTGAATAAGAACAAATCACCGTAGACTTGCAGTATGACTTTTATCAACAATACCCTGTCACCCAGGAAGCTAAATCACTCCCACTATAAATTCATGTCATACCACTGTGACCTGCGAAAGAGTCTTGATGGCATAGATCCCTTTAGCTCTGTTGTATAATTTTCTGATTGCTCAAGAGTTTTCAAATATAGCCTGTTGGTGTTTTGTTGTTGTTTTTTAATCTCCTTTCCACAGTACTGTTTGTGTTCCTGTTTAATTGAGTTAGTTGCAGTGCTGACATAGGAGACTTGAGTCTGGCTTTTCTTCTGTTCTGTGACATTGGAGAAGTTGATGCACCATTCTGAGCCCTCCTGTCCTTGTTTGCTAGCGAGCGGCCACATCTGCTACCTGAAATTGTGGCAAAGCTTAAATGTGATGGTGTATTTTGTTTTGTGTTGTGCCTGGCATCAATAGGTACAGGTTAAAATACAGACTCCCTGCACTCATCCTTATTCTAATAGCATAGGTCTGATATAAGCTGCCTTTGGATACTGAGATCTGCACCAGCCTTGCGCTGGGGTCATGTTCTTCCGTCAGATTCCACTGACTCACAAAGAAGGTGATAGGTTTGCTGTGATCTCCAGCAACCCAGGTGAATGTACCTGACACCAGGCCACTGGAGAATGTTGCCTGGGATCATAGCAGATAGCCAATCTGTGCCTTCCATCTTCGCCGCTGTTACCTGTTTAATTAACCTCACCATCTGCCTATTGGTGTCAGCCAGCATGACTGGGTGAGATGCTTAAGTATGTAGCACTCTAAGATTACCTTACATGTTTTAAGCAAGTGGAGAACAAACATTCAAGCTAGAAAGAGATGTGTATGTGTTTTTAAAAGACTGAAGCAAGCAGTGTTTCTTTGCCTGTAGTTTGTTTTTCCTGGCTGGTTAATTATAACCAAGATACAGTTGCCACATAAACAAGTTAATATGCAATTAGGGGGGAAACAATTTCCAACTATTGTCTAGCAAGCCTTGTTCTGACTTCTGAAGGCCTAGAAGCTTTTCTGGTTAAATGGACTTGGCTAGTTCCAGCGAAGGGGTGTGGGAGAACAGCAAATAGTGACTAACGGACAGTGACTGTAATTACAACCCCCTCCTGGTCCACATCCTTGTTATGCAGAACTTTATCTTGATGCCAACTAGGAGCACAAAGCTTCCTCTCTTTTCTCACCCTGTTACGTCATTTTTGTACATGTGGGAGGAGTGGGTGGGTTTTGTGAGTTGGTAGCAATGGGAGGTAGCTGATAGGAGCCTCTCCTGCTTTGTGCTTGACAAGTAGGGGATCTGAGGAATCAAGGGAGAACCTCAGAGAGGAAAGAGACCACAGGGACACGGAATGAAGAGGGGGTTCTGTTTGCTTTTTTATCTTAAAAAAAAATTACTCTTTTTTTAAAAAAAATGAATTTTTTGATCGTTGCTGTTGAGATTGTACCCAGCAAAACATTTCCACATCCAGCCATCACTACATGTACAATTCCATGACATTGACTGTATCCTTCAAATCACACAGCCGTTCTCATTCTCCTTCTCTGTTGTTCCTCCTGTTAACATGAACTCTCTGTCCCGTAAGGTTCCTATCTAGTCTTTCTAGTTACTGTTGTCAATTTTATCCCGTATAGATAGTTCTTAAAAGAAACATAATGCTCAAGGCAGTCTTTGCTAAACTATTGTTCCTTTTCTTTTTAAATTTTTATTTTATGTTAGTTTGCTTATAAAGTTTATATTCATTGTATTTCACACTATTCATTGACATTATGTTTTATTCAATCATTCATGCTTTATAAAATTCCCATTGGATTAGGCCTATCTTTATCCTATCTTTTAAGGTCCTGCTGGACTTCAAAGGTTACTTTGGGGCTAAGGTTTCAAGATTATCTCAGAACATAGTTTCAGGAGCCCTTCCACCTTCCTTGGCTTTAGAAGGTCTGGGGGTCACAGTCCTTTGGAATTCAGTTCAACAGGGCCCTCCCTTTTGATGAGTATTCTTTTATGGAATCTTTAATCAGGATTTTCAGTAATAACAGCTGGTTACCTTTATGGCAGAGGAGGAAGTTGTTTATGGAGGCCATTAGTCACATGGTCTCTTCTTTTATGCCACCTTGGATCAGAGACAGGACTTCAAGCAGCCAGGAGATAGGTAGAATTTCTACCTGGTGGTTTAGGTAAGGTGAAAGAGAGGTGTGGCGTGAGGTGTTCCGCCCAGGTGCTGGGCTTGGCAGGCGCTCTAGCTGGGACTGGAGATAGTCCGTGATCCCCACAGCAAGACATAACTTGGGTTGGAGGCGGCGCTTGCCAGTACCCACCTTTGCAGAATAGAAAACACCACAGGTGTCAGGGATTAGAAAAATCATTTTGCAGCGTCATCATCACCCTGATTCTTGAGACCAGAATACACGAAGCTTCCTCATTGTGGGGAGGCAGTGAATGTGGATAAGAGAGGAACGCTGGAGCCAGCCTGGATTTGAACTCCAGACCAGCCACGTCCCAGTTGTGCTCCATTTGACAAGTTCCTATGCCACTCTCTACTCAGTTCCCGCTTCTCTCAGGTGGGTGTAACAGAATTGTGAAAACTGAGTTACTATATAAAAATCTCATAGCAGAATATCCAGTTCTTAGTACGAATTTGATACAGGGTGCCTGGTCTTCTTCGGGAATAGATGTCCAGGTGCAGGGTAAAAATTCAAGTACAAAGTGGGCCTGTCTGCAATCTTTTAGCTATAATTTCATTACATTTCTTAAGTTGTCCAAGTTTGGGAAACACACACCACGTGTATTTGTGCAGCCTCCTTAACTCCACTCAGCAGACCCAGTGTCCTTTCTCTTCTGAGCCCAACATAGGGTGGGGAGAGATGGAATAGACAGGCCTTCGAGGCCCACGAGTCTTTTGTCAGGGTGCAGAGTCCGTCCTCAGTGGACTGAAAACATCGTGAGGCCCCCAAAGGTCAAGGAGACCCAGCGCGCACTTGATGCTTTTCTTCACCTTCGATTGCCCTTGTCCTTCGTCCCCTCCAAAGGTCGAGGCAGCTTGACTACGTCATGTCCATAGGGTTTGGGTGGTCAGTCCCACGCTGGAAATCCCGGGGGCTCATTCACAGCATCTTCAGTGCAGGCCCTTTGCCAGGAATGTGCTGCCCAGCCAGTGAGCGTGTGGTCAGGGCTAGTTCTGTGGTGGGAATGGAGCTCAGGACAGTGAGAAGCCCCAAAAGGAAGGAGGCCGAGTGTTTCCTGGGGACCTGACACCCACCTGGAGGTAAGGGCCAACCAATACCTGTCACCTGTCCTGAGGTCCTCACATGCCCTCCTTTCTCTGTGCTTTGTGGGGTGAGCAATGTAGCATAAATGAAAGCATGTTTCAGATTCTTTGCCTCAGTTACCCTATCTGTAAAATGGAACAATTAACACTTCACTGGGTAGATTGAGAAATAAGTGATAAAATACATACACAGTCAGTTGTCATGCAGACACGTCTTAATACAGGGCAGCTTCCTAAAACCACAGTGCTGTGCACCTGAGAAGTGAGGTCATCATGTCTGGAGAGCCCTGGCCACGTGTGCACCGTGTCATACATAAACTCTCATCCTCTTTGAGGGGAATCCAAGGCCTGCCTTCAGAATCTCAAAGGATCTGAGAGGGAAGATCTAGAGATCTAGATTGAGACTTCTACACCTGGCTTTGTTATTTTGAGTCAAAACCAGCTTATAGCTGAGCTACCTACGGGTTTTCAGAAACAGTAAATCACAGAGGAGGGGATTGCCCCTATTTCCCCACAGAGTGGCTGGTGGATTTGAACTGCGTGCCTTTGGATTGTCAGCGCAATGTCTTACCACTAAGCCATCTTTAAAAGCCACTACTAAGCCACTACTCGCCTTTAAAACCAGACTTTTGAGCTATTGAGTCCTGACTCCTCATACTCCTCCATGGTTGTTTCCAGGGATGAACATCTTCACGGCAGGAATCTTCTCATCTTTCTGCTTTGGAACAGCTGGTGGATTTGAACTGCTGACCTTGGAGTTAGCAGTCTGATTGTTAACACACCGCACAACTCGAGTTCCTTGGGACTGGATTATTCTTTTCTGTGGGAGACTCCTGTTCATTGGTGGATGTTCCACAGCATCCTTGACCTCTATTATAGAAGCCAGTAGCAGCCTTCCAAGTTCTGGCAACAAAAAGTGTCTCCAGACCTTGTTCGCTGTTCGCTGTCAAGGAAGGGCGGCAAAACTCACCACTAGTTGAGGGCCACAGAGGGGAATCTGGAGAACCCTCTCTCATTCTGTGCACTGCTTTTTTTTTTTTTACTATTTGGAAATATTTCTTGTTTTCTACATTTGTGTACCATCCAGTTGGAATCGACTGACCCTCTGGCGGGTTTTAGTTTAATCGCAGAGGAGGAGAGTGCCCATCCTTCTCCCACAACATAGTTGGTGGATTTGAAACATGTGCTTTGGGGATTGCATTTTTTCCTGAAGAATAGCATCTTCTCCTCAGTTATAATACAGCTTCCCTTCAACTGTGACAGGCTTTTGGGATTGCAGTGCTGCTTTTTACCACTAGGCCAAGGGATCCCACTTAAGGAGATTCCTGTTGTACATGTGCGTGGTTACTACTGGGATAGACCTCAAAGTGAGCGACAGGAAATCTGTTTAATGTGTGTTGGCAGTGTGTAAAGATAAGACTTTGGAAAGTCTGCTGACATGCCCCTTTGAAGGCTCCGCAGCTGAGAGGGTCTCTAAGGTTATTTCTGACATCCTTGGAGTTAGTCCTCTCCCTGGACACACTCGAGGATCGGGGCCTCCTGATGAGCCCTGTGTGGCCGGCTCACACCTGGAGCTGTTCTCTGACTCCCCCCGCCCCTCCTCCCAGCAGTCTCTTCTCCTTCATCTCTTTATTGTGACCACTGGCTGTTATCTGTTAGTTCCTGGGGTCCCTGACTGTCCTGCTGACACTCTCAAGTGCAGCATGGAAACATGGAGGAGGTTAGCCACCAGCAGAGGACGCCTCGGTGAGCCGGTGGGAGAACCACGGGGGGAGGCCATTGCTCTGGACAGGCTCCTGCTTTCTGCCTATCCAGAGCCTCTACAAGTCCCTTGTTGGAATGTAGAGTATTTCTTTTATTCAGCTGCCTGAGTCTGGACAACATCTTCATCTGTCACATGAGGATAGAGCTTACAGCTGCCAGGCTGTGCACCATGAATCCTAGCATCTATGCAATGCAGATGCCTGTACAGGGGGGAATCCCAGGATATATCAAAACACTGAATGTACTTCTTTCCCAGGTTTCCTGAGTGCACTTGGCCTTGGAACACCTCTCTTTGTAGAGCACAGGTGACACTCTCGGGTCCCTAGGGAACACAAGGTGCTGGTCAGGTTAGGTGCTCTGGTGTTATTACGGACTCAAATGGCATTATCTGATCCCCAGGTTCAATGTCACTGAGAAGATTGGCTCCTGCACTTCAGATCTGTGTGTGGACCTGCTGTGTTCTTAAATCACACCCAGTAGGCCACACACACCCTCCCCACCTGCAGCCACTTGAGGTTGCTGGCAGATTAGAGTGAACTGAGTCAGAAGGCGTCTTTCATACTCACTACGTATCTTTCACCATTTCTATTTTATTTTATAATGGTTTGCTTACAAAGTTCAAAGTTTGTATGCACTGTTTTTTACACCGGATCATTCATTCCCATTTCTTTTACCCATCCCTTCCTCCTCCCATCACATTGTGTGATCCTATGATTAAGCACCACCTCCCCTCTTTGGATCCTTGTACTCATTCTACAATAATGGTCTTATACAGTATTTGTCTTTATGAGACTGAGTTAGTTCACTTAGCGTAATGCTCTCCAGTCCCCATTTTAGGTAGTAATTTACAAAATCATTGGTCCTGCGTGCTGCATAGTATTCTATTGTGTGAATGTACCAGCTGCATAATATTCTATCGTGTGAATGTGCCAGCTGCATAGCATTCCATTGTGTGAATGAACCATAATTTCTCAATCCTCTTGGTCTTATTGTGATCTTTAGTGCTTGTTTGATACTGTCATACTGTGTCTTTTATCAGTTCAACCATTTCTACATAGATGATTCAGTGACATTGTTTATATTCTTTAAGTTTTGCTGACTTTTCTGGAACACTCCTCCCCAATTAACCTAAACTCACTGCCCCCTAAGCATCCTGTCTTAACTTTTCAAGTTGCTCTTGTCTGTTTGATCCCATGTAGCTAGTTCATTAAAAGAGTACAGTGTTCAAGGGAGAGGTTCTTTACAAAATAAGCTAAAATAGTGTGTGGTTTAAAGAAGACGTGATGAAATATTTTTGTTTACAATTTAACAATGATCTCAGGGCAATAGTGGGCAGGCATTCAGCCAGCTTCCATGACTCTGTATAGTCTGGATTCTGTTAGGAATTTTTAAATTCTGTTCCACATTTCCCCACCTCTTGATCAAGTATCCCTGTAGAAGTATTGCTCAAAACTGTCTTACTATATATTCCCTGTTTCCAGCAGTAACAGTGTGCGCTTAGCATAGAGTACACTTCACAGTCTCTTTTGTGTCTGTCTTTGCTGTGTTGACTCCTGTTTCCAAAATGACTTGTGTTAGATGTAAGGTTTGGCATTTGTTGGATAGAATGAAGATTTTGTCACACAGTGGGGTACTAGTTTAACTTTAAAGAAATCATGTTTGATTTAGTTAGTTGGTGCTCCTCCTGGGTGGGACAACAGTATATTGGCCACTGCTGTATTGCAAGAAGGTCCCGGGCAGCTTTATTGCTATCCCTACCTGGGGACCACCCCTGGGGATGAACAGGCCTTGCTGGGTGTGGCTGCGGTCATCATAGACTCTGGCTCTAACTCTCTCTTCTCTGCCCTCCCTCCTACAAGGTTCTGCCACCCTTCACCACTGGCAGCAACTGGCCCAGCCTCATCTCGGGGGCATCCTGGACCCCCGGCCCGGTGTGGTCACCAAGGGCTTCCGGACGCTGGACGTGGATGTGGATGAAGTGTACTGCCTTAACGACTTTGAAGAAGACGACACAGGTGACCACATTTCCCTCCCGGCCCTAGCTACCTCCTCGCCAGTGAAGCACCCAGAGACCTCAGGTGAGAGGTCCCGAGCACGTGTGACCGTCTCAGGCAGCAGAAGTTACCCGAGCCAGCCTCAGGCTTTCCCCGAGGAGATCCAGGAGCCGCCAGTGGCCACCAAGGAGGAGGAGGATGAGGAGGGGTCTGGTGAGGGCATCGCCATAAGTCCTGTAAACCTGGCACCTTCACTGGAGGCGGAGTCCTGGGCCATCCTCACCTCTGTCCCGGGCACCATCCATAGTGGCTCTGTGTGTGTAGCTTCCGCTCGTCTGTGTGGGTGACGCTCCAACCGACCGTCCCTGTGTGTGTAACACAGTCGGAGACCTCCGTAGTGCGAGTGGGTGTAGCACCTAGCCCACCACGGAGACACATGGCCCAGTGGAGCTCTCCACGTGGGCGTGGGAAAGGCTGCTAAAAAGAAGTGGATTGTGGGGCCCCTGAGACCAGTGACACCCCTCTTCCCTTACAGGTCTATCCCTGTATCTGAAGGGGCAGATTCCCCAGAACCTTGATGGTCCGCAGACCAGGCTGAACCAAGTCAGGCATTTGTAGGGGAATTGTGGGTTCTGGGTTGTACAGGAGGTGAGTGGGAGAATCTGTGGCCTAAACCACAAAAAGACTTCAGAAACCCTTGAGAGAGGTGCTTTATTGCTTTCCTAAGCCCATAAACGTGTACACACGCAAACACGTGTGGTTTTTTTAATTTCTTACATGTGTTCAAAGTGAATTTTTAAGATGTCTTTTAGCAATCTTTTTTAACCAAACAGACCCTGAGGAAATGTCATTAACCTCTTCTGACTCCAGAGGACAAGGACTGTGGATGAATCTAGAAAGGAGCTGGGGCTAGTTGGTGACCCCTCCCCACTTCTCCACCACCCGGGAAGCGTTAAAGGGGGTGTCTGTGAATTCATAGAATTCCCCATTCCTGGTGGTGGTGGAAGGTTTGAGCTCAGGACCCGTGAGAATCACCGATCTCTCCTGCCCTGTGCCCCTGTCTAGACTTCCTGGCTCTCCCAGTTCTCTGTGCTAGGAAGAGGAACCAGCTGTTACAGTGGGGAGTGAGAGACCCAAGGGAAGAAAGAGGAACCCCCTCAGGACATTCTCTTGTCATTGTGTTTAAAGAGGAGACATTAATTTTTTACTTTGTTTTTGCTCCCAGCACCACCCCACCTAGGAATGAGCTGAGGTTCACAGTGGTGCCTTCCCTAACTGTGGCCAAGTTCAAACAACCTTAGTTCAGTGACTTTTTTCCCTTCTTTAAGTTAGACCTTAGAGGCGTCTTCAAGTGGAAAGAATCTGTGTAGCCTATGCAATATTTCTGCTTTTTCTTTATAACCTCTGTGTTATCAGACTGAGATGGTGAGGGAATAGTCATCCAGAATTTCAGATCTTCACACTTAAACCAGCTGTGGTGACTTAGTTACCGACATCAGTCCTGCTTTGTTGTTGTTGTTGTTGTGTGCCTGTGATCACGACTCCACGTGACCCTGTGAACAGCAGGTCAGAAGGTTGTCCTGTCCTGTTCCAGCCTCACACACGTTATGCCCCATTCCTTGGTTGCAGTTAATCACTGTGTTGGTCCATCTGGTTGAATGCTCATTGGAGGTGCGTGAACCTCACGGTCTGGCGGATCTTTGTTATTGCAGCCGGAGGGATAAGTGTTGTACCCTGCAGCCTCCCAGATGGACTAGGATCCTGGTTGTTTGCAGAGACATTGTGAGATATTCCTTTGAAAAGTTGAACAGAGGGAGCGAAGCTTATCAAGTCAGCAAAGAACTGTTGAGACTGAAGGAGAGAGGGCACCAGTAGGGGCTGAAGTTGTCACCGCATATATACACAAAGGCATGTTTATTGCTTCCCTCCTCTCAAACCTGCAGCAAAATTCCTCCCAACAGTTGAGGAAAAGTATTCAGATTTCCAATGCAGAAGGCTCACGTTGGACTTGGGTGAGCAGAAAAGAATTGCATAGATTATTAAAGGTATTTTAGCAAAGGGCTGAGCTGTTCAGACAGAATTGTTTGAGCTTATGTTCCAGGTTCAAGTCAAGTGTAAAAAGTTCATTGCAGAGGGAAAGAGTGAGAACAAGACTTTGATTTTTTTTTCTCCTCTTAATGAGGTCAGACAGGACTGCTTCGGCATTTAGAAGCGGGCCATTCTAAGTAACTCATCCTGGTCCCCCCAAGAGCTCTGCGGTCAGTTTGAAAGTCCCGGCAATGCCCCCTGGTTGACACTTGTATCCACACTGGTGCAGCCAGCTCTGGCCTTTGGTCAGCTCTTTTGTTACCAGATAGTAGAATCTCGAAGCTGCCCTCTGTCTGGGAAACCTCAATAGGGGCAAACTTGGGAGACAGAAGGTGTGATGGAGGAATCTTGAAGACTCATGTGTTTGCCACTGTGGTCTGGAGCCCGCAGACCCGTAGAGAAAAAGCAATGAGTGCTGGAAACCTTTCTGTGAACGTGTTGAATGTACTATTTTGAGCATCCTTTTGCTGGTTTTTCCAAACCCCATGTTTTCAAAAGGAGAATCCCCCATGTGCTTTTTTTGTATTGTAAATGATTTAGATGATTAAAGTGGATTTTAAAAACCATTTTTAGATCATAGTTTGACTTTGTTGTAGTGACATGGTTTAAGTTCACCTGCTCAGAAGCAGCTGTCCCATCAATCTAGTGTCCCGTGCAGTGATCCAGGGCACTTGTAGACCACACACAGTCGAGGACTCAGATGATGGTTTTTAAATCTCATCGTTAAGACAGATGGTTGGTTAAAAAGACAGTTGTATTGAGTGTAACAGCTACAAGAGCGGATGCTATGTATATGCAGCATTGATGGGCTGCTCGAGGCCACCGTAGGATGAGATACTGAGGGAGTCCCCGGGAGCCCGGGTGCTTCAGCAGTTAAGCATTTCACTGCTATTCAAAAGACAAACCCATCCCACAGATTCATGACGAAAAGACCTAGCAGTCTACTTCCATAAAGATTAAAGCTCAGAAATCCCTCCAAGGAAGTCCTACCATCACCTGGGTTCTCTGGGATTTGAACCTCGATGGCATTGAACAAGGACATCTTGACTCTTGCATCAGAATAGATGGTGCACCAGCATAAAACAGGCCCAGTGCAACCTGGGAGTGATGAACGAATGAGAGATGAGAGGACCCGCTCTCCAAAACCAACAGCCTAGGGTTGAGTGCCTGCTTAGAAATTCCAGAATGACACTCATTTACCAAGAGCAGTTTTCTTATGGTAACCACATGGGCTCCCCGTATTCCTCTAAGATGCTGGGAAGAGGATGAGTGCACAGACAGGTGGGGAGGGTGGGGGCGGGTTTGCTGTTTGTTACTTTACTTAGGTAGGACCCTAAAGAAAGCCTGAATACGGGTGGTTTTGAGGTTCAAGTGCATTACTTAGAGAATAGAGAAGCATGGAGAAAGAGCTCTCTTTAGTTGGTTTTGCAAACGTGCAGGGAAAGGTCTCGCTGCCCACTGAGCCACACCACCTGCCTCTCTGGCGGCAATAACCCAGCGTGGAGGGCAAGAGCACAGAGCTCCTTGGCTTCAGCTCTGCGATGTCTAAAGGATCCAGACAAACTTTGAAGGTTGGCCTTTTGGCATTGTATTGCTTTTGTTTGAAAACCAAATAAAACCACACAACCCCCCCCCCCAAAAAAAAACAAAAACAAAAAACCAAAAACAACAACCCTCTTTTCTTTAGAAGATACTGTAAGGTCCCCGAGGAAGGGTAGAACCCAGTCCAGGACAAAAAAGTTTGAGGAGAATTTTCCAGGCTGGCTCTAAAGTAGAGACCATCAGCTATTTAGAGTGGAGTTTTATATTGTCTTACAAGGAAATTAGAGAGTTTGGATGCTTGCGGCTGCTTGGTACAAGATAAGAGAGCAGGTCAGGGATCATTCCTGGGAAAGAGAGGTGGAGTAGTTTTGCAGCCCTAACAGATAAAACAGTTGCAGCTGCTACTTCTGGGGCTGTTCTGGGGAAGGGAGGGAGAGCAGCTCTGTGGCCCTGACAGATACCACCCACAGGAGCTCAGTGTGAGGTTCTCTCTGAACTCATGAAACTTCCCACTTCAACACCTTGCGAGACGATAGCTTGGTGTTGTGAGTCAAGTCTACTTCATTCTGCAGAAAACAAAACTAAATTGTGTGGGAACCAGCAAAAGATCTTGCGGTGGTTCAAAATCTCTAGTAGTCTTCTACCCCCAACCCAGCACCCGCCTGCCGATGGCTGATGGCCCTGTTACCAGAAGCCTCAGGGGACGTCTAAACAGAGGCAGAACCAGATGGGGCTGTGCTAGGGTGGTAGGGCTTGAGACTGAGGAGGAGAGTGACCAGCCCATGTTAGGGAGCTCTGGTGGTTTAGAGATAAGGAAACACACCCACCAGATCCTCTGCGGGAGAGAGATGGGTAGTCTCCTGTTGTAGGATTTACGGCCTCTGAAAACCTGCTGGAGAGTCAGCTATGGGTCTAACTCAACAGTACACAACATCAACAGGCCATGTTAAGCCTGGAACTAGAGCTTAAGAAGTGTCGTCCTTTATTTGCATAACCACTTGATTGTTTAAAAGGAGCGTATATTTAAAAAAAAAACAACAAAAAAACACAAACAAACAAAAAGCCAGAACCTGCACAACCAAAGTAATTTTTTTTTATTGCTCCCACCTAGAATTAAACACTTGTTAAAATCTTCATTCATCCCAAACCACAGTATTTATTTTCATAATGAAGCATAGAGCAAATCCAAGGGTCTTGCTTAGTGTTCCCGTATGAACGCTTTGTTTGGTGAAGTCTTCCTCGAGCGTTTTGTTGCAGCCTGATGTTTTAAAGGCTTAGAAGAACTCTAAAGCACTGGTTTTCACTCCCCCCCCATCCCCCAACTCTCGCTTGCATGTTCTTAGGACTGGATTCAGGCCACTCCTTCAAGTTCACTTCACTGTGGCTTTTACCTTACACAGGCTTGTTTTTAATAGATAGAAAAGAGGGGTTTCCCCCCACAGAGATGCCCCCGTTAATCTGGCATCAGCAACTAGAGCTTAACGAGGAGGAGGTGTGCGCATGTGTATGCTGGCTGATGCTCTGACAGAGATTGCAAAGCAGACCCAACTACGTGATGGCAACATCACTGCGAATTCAGTTAAAAAGAAGCAAAGATTAGGAGCATTTGTTAATTTTACATTAGAGCTACATTTTACATGACATTGAAGTTAGACCTTTTTCGTTTGGAAAGCTCTAAAAGATGAGTCCCTTTCCAAGATTTTGAGGTGTGTGTGTTAGATTTCTTTTTAAAAAACTACCCCCAACCATTTTAGGAAGTTATTTGTTGTTGTTGTTGTTGTTTTGGGGTACTCTAAAGAAGGTTCTGACAGTGACCCCAGGTAACAGAGCAGACCTGTCCTGTATGGTT